CCTCCCTATATTCGGTATTTTGATGATTTTAGCTAAATTTTTTACAGATTTGTTTTGTTTTTCAAGTTTCGAATTTGAATATTTTTTATATGTTACTCGATATTGACATCACTTTTTATTTTATCTGCCAGATTGCCCTTTTTTAACTAACACTCAATTCCATATTCTTTTGTTATTATTCATAGTTTACTCTTTACATCACAATCTTTCTTAATGAAATAAACTGAATTACATTAAACTGAGTATACAATATTGGTGTCAAAAGTGGACAGGCACGATGACCAGGAGCAGTTCAATGCAGTTTTTTCTTCCTTGGCAAATGCAATTCGTACGGCTGCGACGGAGGCTGTTCAAAAATCGCGGCCACGATGAAATATGAAGAATCAAACAACATTGATAAATCATTTCGACGAGAGGAGAATCATTTATGCGGAAAGTTTCAGATTCGACAGATACACCAAGATGTAGGGGAATAGTTGGCAAATTTTTTTACTGGATAATGCTGATTGAGCAGATGATATTTGGAGTGAAATCCCGCAATATTTGTGACGGGATTATTGCTAAGCAACCAGAAAGTTTTGCGGAGGCATATGAGTGTGCCACGGCAAAGCAGTTAAACTCAATTAATCAACGGGGTAGTAAATACAGGTGAGAATATTACTACAAAACCAACATGCAAGTGGGATTTACACCTGTCAAGATGAAAAATGGTGTGTAGCAGAAGTCGGCAGTGGATCGACAACGTACGGGCAAGGTAGGCCACATAAGTAAGTGTGCAAGTCAAATATAAAGCAGATAGAGTAGTCGTTGTTGTCAGAATGAGGGCGAGGAGGCACATACGTCTCAGATTGCAACAGTCAGAACAAAAGGGCCATTCGATCGGAAAATGGTCACAATGAAGATAGACGGCCAGAAGGGGATATGGAACTAGAAACTGGTTTGCTCCTGACAGTATTATTAGCTTGGATAATTTAAAGGACATAAAGCAGTCACCAGTGTTAAAGAAAGCGGACCGGCGATTTTCAAGTTTTACGGGACACAAGATTACGTGCATAGAAGTACCGTGCCTAATGTGTCTTTGGGCAGAACCAGTCGGAGGCTGAACTTATACGCAGTTATGGCCAGACACATAATGTGGCCGTGAGCGGATCGCACATTTTGCTCGAGAAGTAAATTTTGCCAAATTGTTCCAAGACCCAATAGAAGCATCAACGGGGACGGAGTTATCAGCAGCGACAGGAGAGAAGAAAGCATCTATAGCAGTAAAAAACACGTACTTTCTGAACATCAACGGCAACGACTACAGCTGCTATTAGCCAAACATAAAGATATATTCAGTGATATAGCGGGTAAGTTCAAAGGTCCTCCTATTAAAGTGCAATTGATGCAAGATGCTACGCGAAAATTTTCCGGCCGATTTCGGAAGCATAGTTGGTTGCTACCGGACGCGTCCACAGATTGCGGATAGTGGAACGCCCAATAGATATATTGGGCAGCTGCGAATAAATAATCAGTCGCGGACAACTCAGCGGTACCGGGGGGAGAGTCTCGGAACAAATATCCGAGTGCCCATGATTATTCCTTCTGGCTTTGGAGATGACTCACCACTTTCGGATGAGGAACTTGACATCACGGTCATTTCCTCGTCTCAAAGTGGTAAGTCATTTCAAAAAGCCACCAAGAACACTTCCAGCGAGACTTGCGCTGTAATGTCTGGTCTACAAGTTTTTTTTTATTTTTATATTGTTTCTTCGGTTTGCCGTTATTTGATTTATTTATTATTCAGTTTTTACTATGATCTACACTTTTTCATATCATCCATCTTGGAAAGGAGGATATTCAGGATCAGCATAAAATTCTAAGTCGATTTAACGATGTCCTTCTCAATGAAATCACGATACAGCTCACATTATTTGATTTGATCTGCCCTCTGATGCAGAATCACATACGCCATCGTCAGAATTACATTTAATGCATGTATTTGATAAATCCACATGTCCGAACAATTTTACAGAAATTCTCGAAAATGTCGATATCCCGAAAATGTTGATTGTCCGTAAAAATAGAACTAATGAGTTTATAGCAGAATGAATGATGCAGAATCTCATAGGCCATCGAACGACACTTAATGCATTTATTTGATAATTCCACGCGTCTGAACAATTTTACAAAAATTCTTGAAAATGTCGATATCCCTAAAAATTTGACTATCCATAAGAAAATGAAACCAATAAGTTTATAGCAGAATGAATGATGCAGAATCGCTTACACGATCGCCAGAACGACATTTTATGCATTTATTTTAAAACTTTATATTCGGACCAATTTTTCAGGAATCCTTGAAAATGTCGACATCCACACGTCTGAACAATTTTACAGAAATTCTTGAAATGAAAATATCGATTTAAGAAAATAGATCACAATAGAACCAATAAGTTTATAGCAGAAAGAATGATGCAGAATCGCCTACACCATCGTCAGCAACAATATTTAATGCATTTATTTGATCACTCCACATGTCTGAGCAATTTTACAGAAATTCTTGATAGTGACGATTATCCCAAAAATATTACATATTATCTGATGAGTTGTGATATATATATATATATATATATATATATATATATCTATATATATATATATATATATATATATATTATATATATATATATATATATATATTATATATATATATATATATATATATATATATATATATATATATATATATATATGTATATATATATATATAACATTTATAACATTTCCACAAATCTCGATTCTCGATTCGATTATAGTATATAAGCATAAGTATTGCTTACTACTCACTTTTGGACTTCTGATTCATCTCTCCTATTCACCATGAAATGGAACGGCGCTTCTTAACAAGGGTAAGAAGTGATCCCCGCAAATACATTAATTTATTTTTCCTTTATTCTTTGATTAATAAAACAAGTATGCAAACAATTTGTTTTAAAGAATTAAACTGAACAGTAAAATTATACATTAATTACATTGCTTTTTGCCTCCTTTTTTAAAGTTTTAAGTATATTTGCACATTCCACTTGTAGAGCTAAAATTAGAATTTCAAAATTTTTATAATACCACGAAAAGTTGTATAAAACATGTAACTTTCTGTTTTTGTCCAAAAAAAATTTATAGAATTCACTCATCTTATCTGCTGAAATATCTTGAATTCCGGCAAGGTTGTGTGCTTGAATGAAATCTTGTTTTTCCTAAAATAAAAAAGAAAAATAGGTATTTGAATGCAAATATTTAACACAATATATCTAATTTACCAAAAACGATTACTTGTTAGTGCAGAAAAAAATACAATATTTAAAAAAGCAGAAAATAATATGGTTTATAAAATAGCTAATCGAATAACATTCATAAGACATATACTCAACATACTCAAAAATACTGTAAAAATGTATAAAAAGGTTTAGTAAAATCCAGCAAGACAAAATCTTTTTCATAAAATGTATTGTTCGATTCTCGATAATTTATAAAAATTGTTACTGCTTCTTGTTTACCCAAAAATCCAGTAAGTGAGAGCGAAAGCACTTGAAAGTACTAAATTGCAAACTGAGCTGATGAAGAAAGAGGAAAATAATACATGTAAAAGCAATTTGTGAACCATTATTTTCATAAGCTTCATAAGTTTTTATGTTAGTTGGTGGTTACTTTTAGTAATTTTTCGTCTTGAGACAGAAAAAATCGAATTATGTTGCAAACTATGATGCTACATAGTACATGTTACTGGAAAAGTAAACGAAAGGAGCAAATGTTGAATGAATATTACAGGGGGCACAAAAATTCGCTGGCGAACGATTAAAATACGATCTTCTCATTTAAGCTTATTTTGCGATTGTATTTTAACGCGATAAATTCTTTACCAGACGAACGTTTATCAAACGAATGTTCGCACACACATTACAAACGAGCGCGAGCACACAACAGCGAACGTTCATTAAGTTGGCATTGAAATCATTTTTGACAATCGATCTCAAATGACAATAAATGCGATCGCTCATTTTGCCGGTTGTGCGTTAGCGAAGTTAATAATTGTGTTTACTCTATAGTGATACATGTAACTACTGGAAAAAACTGTCATCTAAAGAAAGAGTTCGATCAGATGTTCGTAGAAAGAGCATTAAGTGCAATAATGTACCTTAAATGCAATGTCTGGTCTACAAGTTTTTTTAATTTTTTTATATTTGTTTCTTCGGTTTGCCGTTATTTGATTTATTTATTATTCAGTTTTTACTATGATCTACACTTTTTATATGGTTCATCTTGGAAAGGAGGATATTCATGATCCGCATAAAATTCTAAGTCGATTTAACGATGTCCTTCTCATTGAAATCACGATACAGCTCACATTATTTGATTTAGCCACATATTTCCACCAATTTGTCTAAAAATTGGTATTGTAGCTCGTTATAGCTATAGCCCCCATATGAAGGTACATCCCGACATTCGGTATTTTAATGGTTTTAGCCACACTTTCCATTGGATTTGTCTAAAAAGTGATATATGTAGGTTGTTGTGTGGGTTGTAGCTCCGATGGAGGAGCATTGTACATATAGCAGCACGTTTTCGTATAGCCCCGTATAACGGTACCCCCCAATATTCGTCATTTTGATGGTTTTAAACCGCATTTTTCTACGCGTTTGTCTAAAAATTATGTTATTAAAGGCTCGCTATAGATTACAATCGTTGTATAAAATTGTCTATATAGGCTCCCGTCTTAGCATGGCCCCCATATAACAGCTCCAACCATTCTCCTACCGATTTTACTGGAGTTTGTAGTTTAAAGTGGTACTCGTTTGAATCCAGGTACTTTTGCATAAAAGTGTTTTCTTTACACAATGGTGTATATTTTTCATAAAATGTAAATAGGCATGTAAAGTGTTCAGTGTTTATTTTTTCTTACTGCCCGGTGTGTTTCATTGGACTTGGGCGTTTGGAAAAGAAATGGTTATTGCATGTTAGCAGGGACCATAATTATGTCCCATCTAAAAAGCAATAGGATACAGGATGAATAAGCAGTAAAAACAGCAACATTGTAAACACCATCATAAAACGTTCTACCTGTTCACAAAAAAATGTAAATGTGTGCTCACCAGAGAGCTGCAATTAGTACGATTGAGCAGGCTTGACCACAGTTAGTGGAAATACAATCAAACTCAAACATTCGGTCAGATGTAACGTGCTTATTCGAGTTGCTCATGCGAAACAAAAAAGTTGTAGGAGAACATGAATTGATCGAAGCTTTGTGTTCGAAACGCGATTGAAAGAAAAAAATCACAGTTGTGATTGCTCACTTCAATTCATGTGTTCGATCAATTCATGTAGCTGAACTCATCATACGCTCTAGAACACTCATGTTTGATTGTAAGCGAAGTGATTCAAACTGAGCGTTCAATTCGATCCGATGCGATGCGAAAAAGATTATTTCATTCAGATTAAATCAAACGACTGAATCAACAAAAATCATGTAAGAAACCGAGTATGATTGCATTTTTTCATACTCGTTGCAGCCCTCTGATGCAGAATCACATACTCCATCGTCAGAATTGTATTTAATGCATTTATTTGATAAATCCACATATCTGAACATTTTTACAGAAATTCTCAAAAATGTCGATATCCCAAAAATGTTGATTGTCCATAAAAAATAGAACTAATGAGTTTATAGCAGAATGAATGATGCAGAATCGCATAGGCCATCGTTGAAAATGTCGATATCCTTAAAAATTTGACTGTCCATAAGAAAATAGAACTAATAAGTTTATAGCAGAATGAATGATGCAGAATCGCATACACCATCGTCAGAACAATATTTAATGCATTTATTGATCACTCCACACGTCTGAGCAATTTTACGGAAATTCTTGATAATGTCGATATCCAAAAAATATTACATATTAGAAATAGAACTAATGAGTTTATAGGAGAATGAATGATGCAGAATCTCATAGGCCATCGAACGACACTTAAAACACTTTGCGTTTTTAGTTGATAATTCCGCGTGTCTGAACAATTTTACAAATATTCTTGAAAATTTCGATATCCTTAAAAATTTGACTATCCATAAGAAAATGAAACCAATAAGTTTATAGCAGAATGAATGATGCAGAATCGCATACACCATCGTCAGAACGACATTTAATGCATTTATTTTAAAATTTTACATTCGGACCAATTTTTCAGAAATCCTTCAAAATGTCGACATCCTCACGTCTGAACAATTTTCAGAAATTCTTGAAAATATAGATGTAAGAAAATATATCATAATAGAACCATTAAGTTTATAGCAGAAAGAATGATGCAAAATTGTCTACACCATCGTCAGAACAATATTAAATGTCTGAGCAATATTAAAGAAATTCTTGAAAATGTCGATATACCAAAAATATTGATTGTCCATAAAAATCAGAACCAATAAGTCTATAGCAGAATGAATGATGCAGAATTGCATACGCCAACATCAGAATGACATTTAAAGCATTTATTTGATACTTTCAGATATAGAGAATAGAACCAATAAATTTATAGCAGAATGAATGATGAATAATCGCATACGCCATCGTCAGAAAGACATTTAATGTATTTATCTGATAATTTCACATATCTGACCAATTTTACAGAAACTCTTAAAAATTTCGATATCATAAAAATGTTGAGTGTCCATAAAAAATAGAACCAATAAGTTTACAGAAGAATGAATTGTGCAGAATCGCACAATTTTACAGAAATTCTTCAAAATGTCGACCATGTCGAACCAAATCCCCCAACAAACACCAATGACACTATTGCTTCTGAGGAAGCAACGACCAAGGACCGGCTACAGGACTAGATTTTTAACTCGGGAGGAGACGACTCAATACTTAATTACAGTGACGTCATGCATGACAGTATTCACAAACACAGTGAAGAATTGTCCGCTCTCCTGGAAAAGACAAAAACGCTGAGGCTCAGTCAGGAAAGTGTTCCTTCTGGCTTTGGAAATGACTCACCACTTTCGGATGAGGAAGCCACTAAGAACACTCCCAACGGCACTTGTGCAAAGACACAACTCCAGGAGGGATCATCGTCAGTCACCTCTGATGTTACAAGCCTCGATAGGCAAAGCGCCATCAACGTAGGTGCTGTCAGTACCCCGCGCAGAGAACGGAGAGAGATAGGATTCTGATTAAGATGAACCTCAAAGTAATTGCAAAGTTCGAAAAGAATCACCCGCATTTACCAAGCTGTTCTCTTAATCAGGTTCTTCTAGCTCTCTTACCATCAGCTATCAACAACTCCGGTAGATGTTCACGCGGAGGTGGTTAGTGCTGACACTGCTGAGTCAAACCCACCTGCCAAGAAGCGCAGAAACAGGAAGGTCAAGAAACCAGAGCTCGTGATAGCCGCAGCCTTGGCAGCTCCAAAGGAAGCTGACAACTCTTCACGCTCAGCGTTGAAGAGAGGTCGGTCTACGGAGGAAACACGCCCTGAGGCCATGAAGGCATCTACGGCCCCGGCTTCTCAGCCTACACCTACAACTTCCACTCCGTCCGTCAGCAAGTCGGCCGTGACCAAACCGCCCCTTCAAGCTTTAAGGTCCACAAGGCGGAGGTCAAGTCACAACCGGCAAGCCAAACAGGGCGGAAAAGGAAGTGTTCTCAAACCATATACCCGGTCAATTTTCGAGTAGCAATCATCGACAAGGCAGAACCGGAAGGTAAAATCAGCTGCAGCCGATGGCTGCTATTCGAAGATCGACTGAGGGAGCTTGTCTTTAGTGGAGAGGGTGACCTTAAAGGACATCCCCTCCCGTAAGGTATTGACAGCTTGGGTGCCACCACCATCTGTGGATCACGCATCCTGACAATACTGGGCGAGCAAAACCCTAACCTCAGAACAGACAACTGGCGTCTTGTTAGTTCAAGCACTGAAGGAGGGTGCCTGGTCATCAAAGTATCTATGGATACGGATGGCCAGGAGTACCTTCAAGCTCGTGGGGGAAAATTGCATTTCGGCGCCGACTGGATCCGTTTTCGGATAACGCCGTTGCATTAGGAGAAAGAAAACAGCAGCTACTTAGCATCATGCAGATTTATCTGCATCACTGCAAAGCAACTGCTGCCGAACTCCTCCTATCCCTCACGAAAGCTGAAGTAGACATAGCACTGGTTCAGGAACCCTGTATATACAATAATAGGGTAATTGGACTAGGGAGTGGCAG